CCTGCTGCCGGCCCACCCGCTATGCTGACGTGGCATTCCTGGACGACCGTCACCGCTGGCAGCGGCTGCCCCAGCTCTCAGCTGCTGCCTGTGGCTGTGGTGGCTGAGGGTGCCCAGCCTAGTGCCCTGTAGCCACATGCGCCAAACAGCTACAGGGTGCGGGGTCTCAGCTGGCTTATTTATGGGAGACCCGGGTGCAAGCGTCCAAGACGGGGAGGGGGGCTGGGCACCATCAACGAGCAAAATAAAAGCACTGCTTTCCTGGCCTTGTGACTGCCGCCATCTGGGCTCCCCCACGGGCAGGTGCCACCCTGGGCTCCCTCTAGCAGGCTGGACAGATGGCTTGACCCGTCGACTTTATTCACCAGTCTGGTGTCTGGACCCTGGGGGTCCGTCAGCAGGCTGGGGGCAGCTGTCCTGGCCCCGTCCCCTTAGGGACAGAGCGGCAGATCACAGAGATGCGTCGGCCTCGGGGAACCCGACGCTCCCCAAAGAAGGATTCTTCGTCTCGGAGGATCTCATGGGAGAAATCGTAGCGGGCCGAGTCCCTGAAGGACAAAAACAGAAGCTGTGAGGAGGAGGGCTGCGGGGAGTGCTGCTCCAGGCAGACGGGGGTCCCAGTCCTCTGCTGTGCCCCACACCTTCCCTGGGTGCTGGTGGTGGTGTCTGCTGTCAGGGCATAAAGAGGGGGCCCCCAAGTGCCGGTGGGTGGTCTTGCACATCCATGGGGCAGCAGTGCCCTGGGCTCCACTGTACCTTAGAATATAGAGGGAGCCAGGCTCCAGCAAGAGTTCCAGCCACTGCTCTGGCTGCTGTGTGTGTACCAGCCGCATGACACTTGGTGACAGTAGGGACAGGCCGGCGATGGTGGCTCCACAGAACTGGAAGAGGAGGCACAGTGGGGGTTAGGCCCAGCCTGCCCTCCCCTGGCTGGGAGCTTGGGGGCAATGGCTTCTGCCCACCTTGACGCTGTCCACATGAGGCTTGATGTAGCCCCGAGGCTCCAGGTCCAGCACGTGGATTGGGGAGAGCAGAGTTTGGCCAGGGCCGAAGGCGGCCGCCTGCACGCGCTGCAGGATGGCGCGGCTGGGCTCTGACCAGCGGGACTTCTCTGTCTCCCGAAAGCCGTGGATGGCCTGCACAGAGAGGGCAGGGTCAAGCCAGCGAGTTCCCAGGGGAAACGGGCACTGAAGGCAGAGGGGCAGGGCTGTCCCGGTGTGTCCCTGCCTCTTACCTCACAGTCCTGCCTCTCACCTGGCCCCTGCCACGACTCTGACCCTGGCTAGGTCTGAGGCTCCTACTTCGACCCCTACCCCAGCCACCACCAGGTCTGACTTCAGGCTCCAATTCTAATTCTGCTCCTCAACTTGGTCCCAAAACGCTCCTGGACTCCAGATCCTGCCCCAGTTATGGCCCAACCCTCATTATCTGTCCCCACCCTCTAGAATAGACCCCACCCCCCTGCCACGACTCTGACCCTGGCTAGGTCTGAGGCTCCTACTTCGACCCCTACCCCAGCCACCACCAGGTCTGACTTCAGGCTCCAATTCTAATTCTGCTCCTCAACTTGGTCCCAAAACGCTCCTGGACTCCAGATCCTGCCCCAGTTATGGCCCAACCCTCATTATCTGTCCCCACCCTCTAGAATAGACCCCACCCCCAAAAAAACACGGCCTCACCGCGTCCCAGTGATCGTATTCGTAGCGGCGACGCCGCAGCTGGGGTTCCAGCTCGCGGCTCAGCGTCTCCTCCTCGTCCGGGCTGAGGAAGCCGGGACGCACCACGGCCGCATACTTCAGGCGACTCAGCAACTGGAAGCCCGAGCCCCGAACCCAGCCTGACCCTGACAAAGTCCGTAGAGCCAGCTGCCCACTCCCGGCCATAACCCTGGAGCCGGGTCGTGGAAGAGGTCCGGGTCAGGAACACGCCTCTACCTCACAGCCATTGGCTGTGGCCCCGCCAGGTCCCTCCAGCGATTGGCTTCACCTAGAGTCCCGCCTATAGCTCAAGGCTACTGGTTGCTGCTCGGCTTGCTCTCGCGAGCTATTGGATTCCCCGAGTCTGCCACTGCTCCCGTTCTATTGGGCACCAGCAACCACACTAGCTCAGATTACTGGCTGTGCCGCAAGTCAATCTGCAGCCCGACCCTAGCCCCGCCTCTTTCATCAGTTTAGGAAATGATCCAGTTCAGCAGGTGCTCGGTGAACCGGCTTGGGGTCCCAGGGGGATTTGGGCCAAGTCCAAGGCTATGGAATTGGCCAGCGTTAGAGATGAAGCTCACAGTCAGGGTGAGATGAAGTGTGAAAGTACAGGGGGATCAAGGTCACGATTATGGGGTGGGACCAAGTTTGAACAGTTAGAGTTGGGGTCAAAGGTCAATGCGTGGCAGGCCTGTGGTGGAGGCGCACTCTTGTAATCCCACCACTCGGGAGGCCGAGGCAGGAGGATCGATGTGAGTTCGAAGCCAGCCTGAGCTACATGATGAGACCCCAGCTCAAAAAAACGCAAGAGGGGCCGGGGATTTATCTCAGTGGTTCTGCCACCTCGCAAGCGCAAGGTCCCAAGTTCAATCCCTGGTACCAAAAGAAGAAAACACCCAAAAAACCGAAAAAAAAAAAAAAAATTCAACGCGAGCATCAACCTTTTCCCCTTCTCAGTAAGTACAGTACTGGGTTTTGTTGTTTTGTAAAGATTTATTTACTTACTTTTCAGCACGAGGATTGAGCCCAGGGCCTCGCACATGCTAGGCAGGTGCTGTACCACTGTACTCCCCCCGGACCCCCTTCCCCACTCCATTGTTACTTTGAGACAGGGTTTTGCTAAGTTGCCCAGGCTGGCCTTGAACTTGGCAATCCTGCCTCAACCTCCTGAGTGCTGGGATCACAGGTGAGTGCCACCGTACCCGGCTTGTACAATTCCCTGAAAAACCTCTATCGCTCCTACTCTTCTCAAGCCTTCTGGACCCACTGCAGCCTGACTTGGGGCCCCAAGCCCAAAATGTGCTGGAATTTAAGGCCACCAGGAGCGGACACAGTGCAACACCCTACAGTCAGGTGTCTGACCGCAGACGCATCCACAGGCCGATGGCGTGGGCATTTTCATCTTGACTGTGGGCCTATGTGGAGAGGCCAGGAAAACATTGAGCAAGATGCTTCCAAATTGCTCCTGACCCCGACCCTAACCTTCCAGCCCTTTTAGCTCCATTGGGCCAACAGCTTGGGGTCTACAGCACTGGGGACGGAACCCAGGGGCTTTGCACTGAGTTCTATCCCAGCCCTTTTTATTTTTCATTCAAGACAGGGCCTTGCTAAGTTCCCCAGTTGAGACTCGAAGTTGTGACCCTCCTGCCACAATAGACCGTTTTCTCTCACATCTCGCCATACACTGTGGCTAGAGTCCCTCTTCTCAGAACCCTGCATGGCTCGCCTCCCTCCTCACTGTGATCTTCACCCCAGCCCCCCTACTCTCACCCAGCCACTAGCCCTCCTGTGGCTCCTCCCTGACGGGCCTGCCGCAGGCCCTTTGTACTGGCTGTGCCTGTTGCCTGGATTGCTCTTTCCCCATCTACCCTGTAACACATACATCTGCCTACCTCCTTCCCAGATGCCCCCACTCTCCGTTCCCAAAGGAAGGACGGGCAGCTTTGAAGACTGCTGTGTGGTTGTTTCACACTGTGTTGCCGCCCGAGACACAGCTGTGCTCTGGAGAGTCGGCTGAAGGAAGGGGTGGTTGGGGCCTGGGGACCCACACCTGTGCTCGCTGTCACAGAGCAGTGAGCAAAGGCACCTCAGGTGCAGAACAAACACGGCAAAGATTTAATTTAAATCAGTGTCTCAGCCAGGCTGCCCGCATGTCAGGGTACCCCACATCCGCAGTTCCTCGAGGGCCCCTCAGGCTCAGCAGCGTGGGGCCTGTGCCCCAGAGAGGCGGTCTGGCTCTCAGGTACTGGCAGGAGGGTCTGCTGGTGCTGCCGCGGGCTCCTTCTGCACCAGCTCGGGTTCATCCTCACCGTCCTGGGGCGGGTGGACCAGGACCTTGTCGAGGATGCCAAACTCCTGGGCCTCCATGGGGCTCATGTAGCGGTCCCTCTCCATGGCCGACTCTGGTGGGGAAGCGAAGGAGGAAGACGTGGGCAAGAGCTGAGATTGTATCTTCCCAAGAAGCCGGGTGTGGTGGCGCACACCTGTCCTCCTAGCCCTCCTCGGGAGGCTGAGGCAGGAAGAGCATCGAGAGTTCGAGGCCAACCTGGGCTACACAATGAGTTCAGAGTCAGCCTGAACTGTATAGGGAGATCGTGTCTCCAAAAAAATAGCAGAGGGCTGGGGATTTAGCTCAGTGGTTCAGCCGCCTGCTTTGCAAGTGCAAGATCCTGAGTTCAATCCCTGGTTAACACACACACACACACACACACACACACAGCGACTGGGCCAGGCTTGGGAGCCCCCAAGTCCTAGCTCCCAGGTTGTGCGGTACTTGGGTCAGGAGGGTCAGAAGAAGTCCAAGCCACGATGCTCTCTTCTGAAAAGGAAGATTCCCCTGTGGGCTGAGGAGAGGCTCAGTGAGGATGCGGCAAAAGGTGGCCACCTCGAAGCCAGGCAGAAGCTCACCAGGTGCCGGCCCTGCCAGACCCGCCACTGCTTTGGGTCTCCAGCGGTGTGAGATCAGCTGTTGTCCAAGCCACCTGCCCGTGATACTTTGTTTCTGCAGCCTGAGCTGAGACAGGCCCTCCTCCTGCTCATTCTCCCTCATGCGACCCTGGCTGTACCTTCTACATACATGCCTCTGTTTCCCCAGCAGTAAAATATCTCTTTTTTGGTACCGGGGATTGAACTCAGGACCTAGCACTTGCAAGGCAGGTGGCAGAACCACTGAGCTAAATCCCCCTGCCTCTTTTTAAAGCAGTGCTGGGGACAGAACCCAGGGCCTCACATACTTTCCATGACGTTTTCATGATATGTGATACATACCCACAAAGGCTGCCCATCACCGATGTGCACTGTGATGAATTTCAGACTGAACAGAGCCACGTGACCGACACCCACATGGGCGTGGGACATCGCTGCCAGCCCCTGCTAGGGTGGCGCACGCCTGTCATTCCAGCACTTGGGAGGCTGAGGCAGGAGGGTTGTTGTGAGTCTGAGGCCAGCCTGGGCTACGCAGCAAGACCTTGTCTCAAAAACCAAACCAAACAACCAACCAAACACAAAACCAAGTCCCCTGCTAGGGCTCGCTTCTGTCACTAATACCCGTCTGCCCCGAGCCCCAGATCAGCTGTGCCGTACCAGGATCAAGCCCAGGGCCTTTGCACGGAAGACACATCCCCAGACCTTTTTATATTTTATTTTGAGATATAGTCTCACTAAATTGCCCAGGTGGAACTTCAGCTTGTGTCCTCCTGCTTCAGCCTCCCAGAATGCTGGGATTACAGGCGTGCACCACTGTGCCTGGCTTCCCTGAGCCTCTGTGGTTTAAAACGTGTACTGTCTGCACTCACCGTGATCTTCAGTGTGACTGACGCACATTCCTGCTTGTCCCTGAGGGTCGCCTGCCCCCACTGCAGGGCAGTAGTCACCCATGTGGATGAGGAGCCACCCCAATGCACCAAGCGACCAGGGATGGCACCCCCGTCGGTGCGCACAGGTGTCCAGTTCTCACGGTTACACACTGAGCAATGAGCCCTCTTTGTGTTTAGCTTTCGCCCCGGGTGTCACACACCCTTCCCCAGGCAGCCTCCCAAGAGGACGTTTACTCCTTTTCTTACAGTGCTGGGACTGAACCCAGGATCTTCGTACTGAGCTATATCCCCTGCCCTTTTTATTTTTTCATTTTGAGATGGGATCTCACTAAGTCTTCCACGTTTCCCAAGCTGGGCTTGAACCTGTGCTTCTCCTGCCTCAGCCTCCCAGAGTGCTGGGATGACAGGCGTGCGCTACTAAGCCCAGGTAGTTGGGGCTTTTTTTCTGGTGCGGGGGGATCCAACCCATGGCACACACTCTCCCATTGAGCTACACCCCTGGACCCCAAGGAGATGCTTTCAGAAGGCAGAGAACAGAGGTTCTGACCAGAAGTAATTCTGGCCTCCAGGTGACAACAGACTTTGCAAAATGCAGACCCAGACCGTTTTGTTTGTTTTGGTACCGGGGATCGAACTCGGGTCCTTGCGCTTGCGAGGCAGGTGGCAGAACCACCGAGCTAAATCCCCAGCCCTGTTTTCTTTTGTTTTGCGGTGCTGGGGACAGAACCCAGGGCCTTGTGCATTCGTGGTAGGCACTCGCCGCTGAGCTGCACCCCCAGCTCGCGGAGACATTTTTTGGTTATCATAAACGGAAGAGACTCCTACCGTGGAGCTGGTGGGACCGGGGATGCTGCTCTGCACCCTCAGGGCCAAGATCCCACACCACGAGGGCACTGTCTGCAGGTTGATGCCCGACGCCCTTCCCGAGGACAGCGGCCCCCGGGGTGTCGCAGGAGGTGCAGGGGGACACTCACCAATCACCTGCAGGCTCTGCTTGGTGTGCTTCGCGTAGATGTTGTACAGCTGCTTTTTCAGCTTCATGATCTCCTCTGCCTGGATGGCTATGTCTGTGGCCTGGCCCTGAGGGCGGCCCGAGGGAAGACAAAGGTGAGGGCCCGGGCAGAGGCAGCCCCTGTGGGGTTTGGCGGGGCGACTGGGGTCCCTCACATCCTGCTTAATCTCAGCTACTACCAGGAAAGCTCCCTGACCGTACTGTCTCCATTTTCTTCTAATCTTTTGTTTTCTGTTTTGCTGATATGGGTGGAACCCATGGTCTCATGAATCCTAAGCAAGTGCTCTACCACTGAGCGGCACCCCCAGCCTACTCTTATTATTTTTCGTTGTCATTAACTGTATTAACATACATACATACATATATATTTTTTGTGGGGGTACCGATATTTTTTGGCACAAAGCGTATCATAAAATCTGCTGAAAGTATTTCATTCTCTGGGGTGAGGACACCACATATCTATTCAATGAAGAAAACCGTCCTCACAATTTGAGTGCCTGCGTTTTTCCTTTATTTGGTTTTTTGAGACAGGGTCTCACTGTGTAGCTGAGACTGACCCGGAACTCACTATGGAGCCCAGGCTGGTCTCGAACTCACAGCGATCCTCCTGCCTCAGCCTCCCGAGTGCTGGGATGACAGGCGTGCGCCACCACGCCTGGTCTGCTTTTTTTTCATTTTTAAGCAGCACTGGGGATTGAACCCACGTCCTGGCACAGTCTGGCTGCAACATGCCCACCTGTGCCATGAATTCAGGGACTCAGTTCCAGTGGCTCAGGCTCTTCTGCTGGTCCTCATGAAGTGCACCTTTCTGGGCTGAACCCAGGGCCCTTTTTCTTTGGCTTCCTTCCTTTTCTGGCCATTTTCCTGGACTCCTTTCAGGGTGCTCTCTTCGCTCTCAGACTGCTCAATATGCCCAACCCGCCCAGGCGAAGCCCACGTTAGAAGACACCGCTGTCCGCCCCTGGTTTCCACCCATCGTGACCTTTTCCTGTCCTGCAACCCAGGGGCCTGGCACTCACCCGGGCGCCCCCAGAGGGCTGGTGAATCATGATGCGGGAATTGGGGAGCGAGTGGCGCATGCCGGGGCTGCCGGCGGCGAGAAGCAGGGAGCCCATGCTGGCGGCCTGACCCACACACCACGTGCAGATGGGGTTCAGGATGTACTGCATCGTGTCATAGATGGCCAGGCCTGCGGTCACCACACCGCCTGCAGGGCCGAGAGTAAGTGAGGGCGGGACCGGCCCTCCCCACCCCTCCCCTGTCCCGTCCCCGGCACGGGGGACACTGGGCCAGGCGGCCCTTTACAGCAGGGCACAGGCACAACTGCCTCCACCTCCGGGGACAGAGAGGTGACAGGTGACACAGGACGGGTGGGGGAACAAGGCCAGTCCTTGCGCCGGGTGACCGCTGCCCTATGTTCATACGGGGCCAGAGGGGCCAGATCTACCAAATTTCCAAAAGGAAACTAGAAACCAGAAGAGAGCCAGGGCCAAGAGGGGAGGCACCGTAGGCGGCCTGCTTCCCGTGACCGCTGAATCGGCAGTGAACGAGCAGAGCGAGTTTGGACAACTTACTGAGCCTCTCCGAGCCTTGTAAATTAGAGAACAGAGAGGACAAGCGTACTTCAGAAAACACTCGGGCCGGGGATTTAGCTCAGCGGTTCGGAGGGCTGCCTCGCAAGGGCAAGGACCCGAGTTCGATCCCCAGTACCAAAAAAAAAAAAACAAAAAAAACAGAAAACACTCGGCACAGCAAGGGATCGATCCACATTATCTAGTCTCTTTTTCAGCGATAGGCAGTCTACCCGCTTACTTACTTATTTTTGCAGTAGTAGGTATGAAACCCAGGCCCCTCCTGTCAGCTACAACCCCTGCCCTTTTCAAATTTTTTCACTAATTAGCCAGGCTGGGATCGAACTTGTGATTCTCCTGCCTCAGCCTCTCAAGAGTGCTAGGATTGCAGGCCTGTACCACCTTGCCTGGCTTATTATTATTATTATTATTTTTTTTTTTTTTTGGTACTTGGGATCAAACTCAGGACCTTGTGCTTGCAAAGCAGGTGGCGGAACCACTGAGCTAAACCCCTAGCCCTGGCTTATTTTTTTGAGGGAGGGTCTTACTACACAGCCCAGGCTTGAACTCACTATGCAGCCCAGGCTGGTCTCAAAGTCATTATCCTCCTGCTTCAGCCTCCTGAGTTGTGGGATTACAAGCAAGTGCCACCATGCCCGGCTAACTACCAGTTTTAAAATGTTGACCAGGTCAGGTTGGCAAAATGGATCAAAGAGGGCACATTGTACGACATAAATTTAGCTGTTGGTTTGTGAATCTTCACTTAAAAGCAAGCTATAGGGCAGGTGTGACGGTGCAAGTCTGTCATCCCATCACTCAGGAGGCTCAGGCAGGAGGACCACCCTGAGTTTTGAGGCCACCCTAGGTTACAGAATGAGAACTTGTCTCAAAAAATAAAAGTACGGGCCGGGGATTTAGCACAGTGGTTCCGCTGCCTACCTTGCAAGCCCAAGGTCCGGAGTTCAATCCTCAGTACCAAAAACAAACTAACAAACAAAAAATAAAAAGTAGAAGCCAGGGATTTATCTCAGCAGCACCAAACCTGCCTTGCAAGCACAAGGTCCTGAGTTCAATCCCAGGCATTGGAAAAAAAAAAACTAAAATAAAATAACTAAAAGTAGCTGCCTGCCTATAATCCCAGCACTCCACTAGTCTGAGGCACGCCTGGACTCACACAGACACCCTGTCTCACAAAACAAAGCAACCCCCCTTCAAAAAAAAGAAAGCAAAAACAAAAGGAAGCTATAGGCTTGTTTTGGTGGTTCTGAGAAAGTGGGTTCCTGGGGGTGGGGGAACACCCTGAACCAGGGATGTCAGTCCTGAGTCTCTCGGTGCCCCACAGAGAGCCCCGCTCACCAGGGCTGTTGATGTACATGTGGATAGGCTTCTTGTTGCTCTCAGACTGCAGGAACAGCAGCTGTGCGATGACCAGGCTGGCAACGCTGTCATCGATCTGCAGGTGGTGAGGTGGCAGGGTCCCCGGATTGGGGGTTGAGAGAGATTAAAGGGAGGGGCTTTCAGGGGTTGCTGGGGATGGATCAGGAAACCAGGAAGGGAGGTCAGATCTCAGAGAAGGGTCAGGAAAGTCAGTTTCAGTGGTGTACACTAGCACTCTGGGAGGCTGAGGCAGGAGGATGGAAAGTTCGCGCCCAGACCGGACAACTTAGTGACTTAGCAAGACCCTATCTGAAAAATAAACAAATAAAAAGAGCTGGGGATGGAGCTCAGGACGAAAGCCCTGGGGTTCTGTCTGCAGCACAGACAGAAGGAAAAAAAAAAAAAAAAAAAAAAAAAAAAAAAAAAAGATCAGAAAGAATTCAGGACACAGGGCTGAGGGCACTGAGGGGCACAGTAGGGACCCACAGGTTATTCTCAGGTCAGAATGGGTGGGGCAGGGACCGAAGCCTAGGAATGAAAAAGGGGTCCTAGGTGTCAGGGAGGTCGTAAGCGTCCCCCTCGCCCCCCGGCGCTCACCGGGCCCATGACACACACGATGCGCTCCCGCAGCAGCCGCGAGTAGATGTCATAGGCGCGTTCACCGCGACCCTAGAGTGCAGGGAAGGAGGTGAGAGGTCGAGGGACCCGCAGTCCCCCCAACCCCAGGCCGCGTCCCCGCCGGGCCGCTGTACCGTCTGCTCCACCACGATGGGAATGAGCCGCCCCCCGGCGCTCACCGGGCCCATGACACACACGATGCGCTCCCGCAGCAGCCGCGAGTAGATGTCATAGGCGCGTTCACCGCGACCCTAGAGTGCAGGGAAGGAGGTGAGAGGTCGAGGGACCCGCAGTCCCCCCAACCCCAGGCCGCGTCCCCGCCGGGCCGCTGTACCGTCTGCTCCACCACGATGGGAATGAGCAATAAGCTCCTGCCCGCCGCCTCCCAGACCTCCCCTACTAACATTCGGAGCCACATGCCGGCGCGTGTCCTTCTCGGCTTCCGTCCGACGGCAGAACTACGACTCCCGGCACGCCTTGCGCTCGGGCGCATGCTCGCTAGGCCGCCCACATGGCGGAGCGGGGGTGGGCAGGCAGGGTTAAGGCCCCTGAGCGAGTCTGGGGGTGGGGTCAAGGGAGGAGGCGACAGAGGAGGAAGGGATTCCGAGGTGGGCTGCTTTATAACGGCCAGTTAGAGTCCCGTCTGTAGTCTTTTGTCCTTTATTCGTTTTCTTTGAAGGGTCGGATGGTATATATTTTATCTCGTATTTAGAAAAGGTTTATTAGGACATGTTTGCCGTACAAAATGTTTATATCCCTTGTGTGGAGTTGGCGCATGTACATAACTCCTCCCGAGTCTTGCCCCTCCCAATTCCTTTTTTCGTTTTCGTTTTCTCTATTTATTGTTTGTTTGTTTGTTTGAGACAGGGTCTCACTATGTAGCTGAGACTGACCTGGAACTCACTATGCAGCCCAGGCTGGTCTCGAACCCACAGCGATCCTCCTGCCTCAGCCTCCCGAGTGCTGCGATTACAGGCGTAGCCACCACGCCGGGCTCCCAATTCCTTTTTTCAATCCATCCTTCCCCTCCCTCCTCCTGCCTCCATCTGTCCATCCCCTTCCCGATCTCTCTCCGTAGCTCCTGTGACCTATCTTTTATTTTGCTCGCTGTTTATATTTTGGGTTTCTCATATAAGTGTAACCATGTGATATTTAAACTTGTGTGGCTGATTTTTTTCCCCTTTTAACATTATGGTTTCAGTGCATTCATTTTCCGTCAGATGACTCAGGTTTTTTCATACCTTATCAGAGCAGTACTCCATTGTGTGTAAAAACCACACTTTCTTGATCCAGTCATCTGTTGATGGACACCCAGGCTGCTTCCAGGATTTAGTATGCGTTGTGCTGCTGGAAACATGAATGTGTGTCACTGTAGCGTGATGTCTTGAAGGGGCACAGCTGAGTCAAATGGAATCTCTAGTTTTTGAGGAATCTCCAGACTGATTTCCGCAGTGGTCATGCTAGTTTACATTTCTACTAACGAGGTAGAACACGCCCCCCACCCCATCTTCTATGTAGAGGCTCATGTCATCTGCAAAGAATGAAAATTTGACTTCTTTTTTGTTTTGTTTTTGGTACCGGGGATCGAACTCAGATCCTTGCTCTTTTTTTTTTGTTTTTGAGACAGGGTCTCGCTATGTAGTTGAGACTGACCTGGAACTCACTAGGTAACCCAGGCTGGTCTTGAACTCATCGTGATCCTCCTGCCTCAGCCTCCTGAGTGCTGGGATTATAGGCATGTGCCACCATGCCTAGTAGGTCCTTGCTCTTGCGAGGCAGGCGCCAGAACCACTGAGCTAAATCCCTGGCCCTGACTTCTTCCTTTCCTATATGTATCCTTTTATTTCTTTCTCTTGCCTAATTGCTCTGGCAAATGTTTTGAGTACTGTATTGAACTGGAATGGTAATAGAGGACATCAATATCTTGTTTCTAATTTTAGAGGCAAAGCTTTCAATTTTTTCCCATTAATTATGATGTGGGCAGTAGGTTTGTCATATATGCTTTTATCAGGTTGAGATAAGGTCCTTCTATACCAATTTTATTCATTGTTTTTATTGTGAATCGATGTTGGATTTTGTCAGAGGCTTTTTCTGCATCTATTGAGACGACCATATGGTTTTTGTCCTTGCTTCTGTTTATGTAGTGTATTACATTTAATGATTTGCATATGTTGAACCATCCTTGCATTCCCGGGATGAAGCCTACTTGCTCATGATATATGATCTTTTTGGTGATTCAGTGCATTCTATTTGCCATTCTATTTTGAGGCATTTTGCATCTATATTCATTAAAGAGATTGGTCTATACTTCTCTTTTAGTCAGATCCTTGTCCCCCCACCCCCGTACCAGGGATCAAACTCAGGACCTTGTGCTCGCAGGGCAGGCGTGGTGCCACTGAGCTGAATCCCCAGCCCTTTGTCTGTTTTGAATTCAGGGTAATGGTAGCTTCTAGGAAAGACTTAGGAAGTATTTCTTCACTTTTGACTTATTAAAGAGGGAGTACTGGTGTTAAATCTTCCCTGAAGTTTTTGTAGAATGGAGCAGTGAATCCATCAGGACTTGGCCTTTTTATTGCTGCTTAAATTTCATTGTTTGTTGTTGGATTATTCAGGATTTTAAAGTCTTCTTTATTCGGTTTTGGTAATCCATATGTATCTAGGAATCTATCCTTCTGAATTTGTCAATTTATTGGCATACAAATTTGTGAAGCACTTGTTATTAATCTTTCTTATCTTGGCAGTGGCTGTTACGATTTCCCCTTTTTCATGTCTAATTGCGTTGATTTTTTTCCCTCTCTCCTTTTGGGGGGGTTAGGTTGGCTGTTTGTGTATTTTATTTATTCTTTCAAAAGACAAATGCCTTGATTCATTGATTTTTTTTGGTCTCAATTTCATTGATTTCTGTTCTTACCTTTATAATTTCCTTCCTTGTCCCAGCTTTGGTTTTGGATTGTTCTTGTTTTTCTAGGACCTTGAGGTACATTGTCAGGTTATTTGTTTTGGCTTGCTCTGTTTTTCTGATCTGGGCATTCACAGCTATAAACTCCTGTCTTAGGACTGCTTTCATTGCGTTCCATCAGTCGTGGTATGTTGTACTGACATTGTTGTTTAGTTCTGGAAACTATCTTATTTCTTCTTTGATTGTTTTCCCCTGTAACCCATTGTTTAAGGGAATATGGTTTCATTTCTAAGCATTTGCCTCATATTTGTGTTTTCTTCTGCAGTTGATGTTCAGTTTCCTATCCGATAAATACATGGTGTAATTTCAGTTATTTTATATTTACTTCAGCTTGCTTTATGGGCTGGTATGTGGTCTATTTGGGGAAAGTCCCATGTGCTGATGAGAAGAATGTACATCCTGTTGTTTTGGGGTAAAACAAGGATCAGTGAGTATCAGTGAAGTCCATTTTCTTTGTTCTTTATTTTAAAAATCAGTTCCAGTGCACCCACGGCTCGCCTTGGAAGTGGGGGCTGTGGGCCAGAAGAGCTACCAACCTGATGGGACTCACACCGCCAGAATCCTTCCCACCCATTCTTGCTAAGCTGTGGGATTGAGGGGTGCCTACCAGATTGTACCATGAACTCTGCCTAAGAATGAGTCCTCGAACCTCTCATAGAAAGTGGGATATTGAAAAAAAAAAAAAAAAAGAAAGAAAATGGGATATTGGTTCTGAGCTGTTGTTTTCTTTTGTTTTGCTTTGCTTTGTTTTTTGAGACAGGGTCTCACTATGTAGTTGAGACTGACCTGGAACTCACTATGTAGCCCAGGCTGGTCTCAAACTCCCAGGATCCTCCTGCCTCAGCCTCCCCAGTGCTGGGATGACAGGCGTGCACCACCATGCCCAGCAGCAGATGCTTTTTTAATCTCTCAGTTCAAACATCACCTTCTAAGAGTTCCTGCCTATTTTGTCCACGGGGCCTAGGACAGTGCCTGGCGTACAATAGGTGTGCATCAAAAACTCAATGAACCAAGGGAGGAGAAGATGATAAGAGAGGAAAATAAGAGCAGAGGGCTTCAGAGGAGCCAGCAAAACAAGGGTAATGAGAATGTACCACCTAGAGATGTACAGAGTCCAGGAATGTAGTAAGTGCTTACTTATTATTAGCTATTGATGCGGATTACTTATTGATGTAATAGATCCGTGACTATGGGGGTCCAAGAAGTCCTCATCTAGGAGGGCCTCATCTGGAAGCCCACATCTGCTTGGTGTGGGTTTTGATGTATAGGTAGGAGTTCATCAAATAGCTATTGTGCTAAACTCAGAGCTGATGAGGGGTGTACTGTTTTTTTTTTTCATTGAGTTTATTGGTACATTTTAGGTATACATTCATAATTGCAGTCTTGTACCTTTACATGACAGGTCTTGGTTCTCATTTTTTCCCCTGTCCCTGCCCTCCCTTCACCCCCTCCTCCCCTCCCCATTTACAAACACTTTATTTCCATTTTTCCATTTTCTCATATTTTTTCTTTTCCCTTATTACCTTTCCCCTACCCTTCCCACTTTCCCTACACCTTTAGCCCTTTTCTTCCCATTTCACAATGTCCGGTATCTCATTAGGATCTTATGTACTATTACAGTTTATTCACACCAGAGAAACTATTCGGTATTTCCACATGTGTGACATATTTATTTCACTTAGGAGTCTATCCTCAATATGGATCCATTTTTGGGTGTGCTAGATAATATAGTTATCCAGCGTACTGTCTGCGCCCTTTAGGGAATCCCAGTCTGCCGGAGAGATGAAGCAGAGACACAGACTCCCAGCCTCCTGGAATCGGGACAGGACGCACAGGCGGGGTCACAGTCTGACACGGTCCGGAGGAGGCCCCGGAGGCAGAGGCAGGCACACGCTTGCAGGTGGGGGCCTCTCCGCAACCAGCTGGCACTCGAAGTCTGAGGGTGGGGCCTAGCAGTCTGGGAACGCACTTTTACTGTCACTGTCCCCAGCCGGGATGAGGAGCTAGGTGGACAAGGTGGCCCAGTTTCTGCTGTGAGTCAGGTGGGCGGCCCCGCCTGGCTGGTTTCCCCCAGCCCCGGGCTCCCGCCCCACCCTGGGACGAGGGCTGGGCCACCGATTCCTACTGGTGCGATCAATCAGACAGTTCTTCTGACGAGGACAGGAGTAGGTGGCATTGCTTTGCTGACTTCTCCTGAAAAAGCCCTGTCCGCCTCTGCAGAGCCCCCACCCCAGGGGCGCTGCGACCCGACCCTGCCCTCCAGCTGGCCGCTCCTCCCTCCTCCCAGCCCCTCCTCGCCTGCTGAGCCACGCCCCGACCCTGTACAAAATTATTTCTTTTCTGAATTTGTGAGACAGGGTCTCCCTATGTAGTCCTTCCCGGTCTTGCACTCACTACGTAGCCCAGGCTGGTCTTGAACTTGCTGTAATCCTCCTGCCTCAGCCTCCCGAGTGCTGGGATCACAGGTAGGCACCACCACGCCTGGCCTTAGCTGTCATCTTCTGCACAGAGCCGTGACCCACCACACCACTAATTTATTTTCTCCTGGG